GTTCTGTTAGAGATAAATTCTTATGCCAACAAATCAGTATTTACTAAGGATGTCTTTATTAGATAAGTTAGAATTTTTTTTCAAATTTTTATGCATTGAAAATAGAAAGCACATAACTACTCTTTTAATTTTACTACTTTCTATTCTTGGTCCTTAACGATTTATTCAAGTAAAGTCAATAAGGAAAAAATCTAATGCCATTCCATATTTAAATATATAAACCCATTATATATGTAAACTCTAATACAGTGTTAACTGTGAACTAAATTAGGGTGTTTGGATGGACACTGAAATAATTGTCTGTGCACTGTAGAAGTCAACTTTCTCATTAAACTCTGACATGTTATTCTTAGAGCATTTCTCTTGGCACACTTCCCAGTAGTTTTGACATTACATGGGTGTTTTCTGTTTTGACATTTTATGGTGTGAGAATGCAGGTATGGAAGAATGATTTTGGCATTAAAGTCAAGGCATTCAAATTTATTGCTATTTTATCAGCAAATACATGCCTATCAGGATATGTTGGCTGTGATAAAATTCCTCAACATTTAGGGAATAGCAGTATGTTTACTAAAATTGGATCATTAATCTATGTAACACACATAAGTTTCATCATGGAAATATTCAGTAAGTGTATTACCTACAAAATTATCATAACTTATTCCTGATTTAAATTTAATGAGAATAAATAAGAGCTTTCATATAAGTGAAATTATATCTATTTTGTGCATTAAGTGCGAAAGTTCTAATTTTTGGAAATTAAATTTATAATTTTATAACTTACTCGATCAAATTCATTTTTTCTTTTCAGTGTAAACTCAGAAGAAATATTTCAGTAGAAAACCTAGCATGTGAAAATGTAATCAAATCAGTTATGAAAGTCAACTCTTACAAAACTGCTCACTAGACAGAAAATCTATTGACAAGACCTTATTGTAAATTATACCTCAGTAACTCATGAAGTTAGCCCTTGAGATAGATTCAGAATGAAAAGAATGAAACTGTTATTGGGCAAAGAGCCTGGAAACTATGACAGAGTCAGAATCTCTCACTGGTTCTAGGCCTGGCCACCAGCTGTCACCAATACAAACACAGGGGCCTTTGGCACAGCCAAAGAAAATAATTTATTCTAACAGCAGGCTAGAGAACTAGCAGGTATAAAGTGGAGTTGCTGCTACAAGAAACAGCAGGGTGCAGCAGAGGTCTGCCACTGCTGAGGTTGGGGGCCCCCTCTTCCCACCCCCACTCTGGGAAGGTGGAGAAGGTATGTAAGGGCAGCTGCCTTTCTTAACAGCTCTGACAAAACAGCAAGTCCATGTGCACCATTCCCTTCCCTCCCCCCTTTTTTTTTTTAAGATGTATTCATTTATGCATACAGAATAGGTACCAGGACAGGCAGATCGACGAAGTACACTGCTGAGGGGAGCAGCGGGTGGGTCAGGAGAGGTCTGCTGTGCCATGTGGGTCCCCTCCGGGACTGGGGATCAAACTCACATTGAAGTGGCTGCGGTCAGCTTGCAGTGTTGCATCCTAACCCACTGGGCCACCAGGGAGGGCCAACATTACCTTTTAAAGACTCAAAAGATTGCTCAACTCTGCCTCCTTCAAGCTGCTACTTTGGCTCAGGTTATCAGGGTGGAATTCAGAGTTGGACACTGCATAGGCATTTTGCTGTCCTGTTTGGCTGGTATTTGGATATCAGGAGGACTTTGCTCCTCATCTGCACCAGGCCACTCCAATGAAACAAATTCATACAGGAATGAAAAAATAATTTTGGAAATAATGGAAAAATAATTGCCCTTAGTATAAGTGATTCCATTTTCACTTGTTTTTAATGATGCAACAATGTATTCCTCAGGTGCAGTTCTTAACTGTTTAACACTGTGGAATACTGAAGTGAGCCTCTCGCATCCCAGGCAGCTGTTAGTTCAATGGTACCCTGATCATTTGCCTTAGACTCTCTCAGTAGCATTTGACAGACTTGATAATTTCCTCCTGAGATCCTGTATAGCTTTGAATGGCAGGAAGCTTTCTAGTTTCTTCATATATTTCTAAGCTGTCTGTATCTTACCCTCTAGGATTTCAGCTTAATGGTACATCAGCACATTGAGGTCTGAGTATTGCACAGGATTTAGTTTGGCTACTATGGCTAAAGAGTGGCATTCTAGTAACTGTAGATTTCACTTAAGGTTACAGTAATTCCAATGTAATGAATATTCATAGAAGTAGTGCAGACAGGAAATGTGTGAAAATCAAAGAAACGTTACAATATTAAACTTTCAAACAAAGCAGCTTTCTCTATGTGGCATGACTTCTACTGGTTTCTACTGGCCCAGGGCCTAGTCAGACTTAACAGCCATAGAACTGCTCACTACATACACTCCAACATGGGTCCTCTCCTTATTTCTCTCTTACTCATCTCTACTATCATGAAAAATTGAGCTTTCAGAATCATCCTAAGTGTCCCTTTTGCTTTTTACTTTCCCAACTCATCAGTAGCTACAGGACTTTAAATTGCTGAGGAAGTCACTACAGTTAAGCACTAGACTTGGCATTCTCTGTTAAAAGCTCTGATTACTATTCTGTGCTTATAAAGGGAGTTTTAGATCGAAACATCTGAACTGTGACACAACCTCCAAGATATGTGTGTCTAAAGACCCTGTAGGAGAAATAATTGACTGGAGTGTTTCAAGTGGATTAGGCATTACTTTACTAGAGACTCATATACCAGGGAACCAGTGCCCAAGATGAGAATTTTAGACTGATTTTAAGAGAGGAGCTAGGAGGAAGTTTTTAGAGAAGTCCATGAAGTGGGGCAGTGGAGAGCAACATTGTTTGTTCTAGATTGGGCTACTCCCAGGCATACATGGATGGGTTCCATTCCAACTGTATTTGGAGGCTCTCAGCCTTCTCCCAGGACACTGAGGCAATCATTAGTCTGGATCTAACACTTTTGTCTAGTGTGATTGCTTTGGTCAGTCCAGTGGCCTGGATTGTTTCCACAGGATGTTGGGTTAGAGCCCTACAACCTGTAACTCAGTCTACTTGTTCCAACAGGTTTTGAGCAACTCAGTCTAATTCAGCCATTAGTTTGATTTCCTTGTTCAAATAGAACATTGGACAACTACTATCTTATCAGCTCACAATTTATTTTATCCAAGCTGTCTCAAAACCCGGCTAGGAAATACTCCTGCCAAAACGAGTAGATCTGTGTAAGTGGTTCTGGTAGTGATGGGTGTGCATGTGAAGACATTAGGTAGAGATACTTCTTCTTCTTTTTTTTAACTGATTTTTAAAAAAAGATTTATCTATTTAGTTAGATATACAGAACTGGGGTACTGGCCAGAGGTACAGGGGCAGTGAGAGGATTCACCAGAGACAGAGTGGGGAGCAGAACAGGTAGATCAACGAAGTGCAATGCTGAGGTGAGCAGCAGACAGATCAGGAGAGGTCTGCTGTGCCTGTGGTCACCTCCGGGGCCGAGAATCGAACTCCCACTGAAGCGGTTGCAGCTAGCTTGCAGTGCTCATCCTAACCCATTGTGCCAAAAGGCAGAGCCCTAGGTAGAGATATTTCAAGTGGACACCATGAACCATGCCTGAACCAGAGAACAAGAAGGCAAGGGCGCTGGTAGAGGGTGATCAGTCACAGCATCTGCTGTGCTCCAGCCTTTAGCAACCAGGCTTTTCTGTCTGCTTGTTGAACTGAACTATCCTTGACAGAGTGAAGCAAGGAGCAGAAAACCAGTTCTGGATTGGGTTTGACCCAACGAGGCTGGATTCTCTAGTTCAGACAAAGAACTCTTGAGTGTTTGCTAGTGACAGTGGCATGATCTGCATTCACCTCCAACGTCTTGAAGGCATGAAATGTAGTGAACACACATGGATAAGGGGCACATGGAAATGTGTACACAGAAATGGAAATCTATAATTCTTTAAGAATAGGAAGGCATTCCTCCTCACAAAATGAGTACATTCTGCTCAGTTTTAAATTTGAAAATCTCCGATTAAAAGACTGTCACTCGGATGGCATTATAGGCTTGGGTTGGATGCCTGGTGTAACAATAGATGCAGCAGTGGCCAGAAGAGGCTGTTATGCAGTGGTCCTCCCATGCCACTGAGGAAGCTTGAGTTTCGTCATGTGAATAAATAGATGGCCATGATTCTTTTGAATTGCTTCAGTGCCATGGAGACTGGTTCCAGCAGTTTCTCTTCGGATAGAAACTCTGAGGTTCCCAGAATACTCAGTATGATAAAGTTTTGAAAAGTCTGCAAGGGAACAGGGACCCACTGTCACATCACTTGAGAAAGTTTAAGGGATGTGATGAGAGCCTCAAATTTGCCTCCCAAGGATGGGGCCTTGGGCTCTATTTAAGGACTTGGGGAACAAGGAAAGTGTCAACAACGGTAACTTGGTAGAGTCTGAGGGGCTGCTTTTTGCTGAGCCTTGCTGTAACTGTTTCCACAACAGCAACAAAACTGAGTATCTTTCTCTGTTTAATGCTGTTCCTTTGACAGTGAGCCAGGTATTTTAGTTCTGATTCCCAGGCCTGTTTTTTGAGTCCACCCATGAGAGATCATCTTGAGAACAGTAAACAGTCTTTGAACCTGTACTCTGAAAACACAGCTGTAAATAAAAAAAAAAAAAAGTTTTTCCTCATTTAAATGGGTAGTGGTATTTTTGTTCTATTAGCTCATTCTGACAGGCTTGCTCTGCTCTTCTTGCAAGATAAACAGAAACAAGAAGGACCGCCATGGTTTCAAGGTAGATATGATTGTAGCACACAGTAGGTTCTTTCTTTTTCATAACTTCTCAAAAGGAAACATTATCATGCACATTTCATTTTCAGGAACGTTTTCAAAATTAGTTTTAGAAATCTTAAATTTGAAAATTAAAATGTGGAAAACAATATGCCATTAAATTAGTTTAATTGAATTTCAAATGCAAGTGATGTATATATCATAGTAAACTATAATAATTTGGATTTTTTTTTATTTTAGTGCTCAAGGAGCATGTATTTCTCATGTACTGCCAGAATTTCTGCTTGAACCAGAAGATTATAAGAAGTGGATTGAAATTAAAGTAAGAGGACATAATTTTTAGGAACAATTTACAAAGTACTTTTAACTATACTGGTATTCATTCCTTCATAGAAGATTCCATTTTATTTTTCATTTATGCATTACTTTACCATACTCTATGGACATTTTTGTACTATTTTGCTTATTACAGGTTTTCATTTTATAAGACACAAAGAAATTTCTACAAATCAGATCCTTGCCATATCTGATTATATTAAATTCACTGAGCAGTGGAAGCAGTCATAGCCCAAGCAGAGCAAAGATAGGAATAAGGAAAAATTCTTCATTTTTCTGTTTCAGATTTTAGAATCCTTGATCTTTTTATTTACAAAGTATCGTAACGATTTTGACCAGCCATTGTGTGTGTGTGTGTATTATATTTGCACGAAAAATCTTTGCAAACAAATTATGTGCAAAATGAGCTGATGGCATTCTTAAATATAAAAAGTCATTGTTTCTTTTAGGGAATGTAGGAATGAAAACTGGCATGTGCTTATGCAGTAGTTTTCCCAGAACTAACTTTTTAGAATCTATACTGTTCAGAGAAAATTCTAGTTTTAATTTCCCTACCACTTGCCACTTTCCTCCCTCAGTGTTAGAGAAGAATAGAGAAATTAAAGAAGGCATGCAGGCTTTTTCAAAGTATACTGTTCTTTTTTTCTGAATACCTATTGAGAAGTGGTATTGATTTGAGAAGGCTACAATTTTCATGGAAATTATTTGAGCTTTGACTCTGGTACTGCATTTACCAATGACATAGCAGGGGAGCCCAGGGCCTGTTCTTGTTGTCCTCATTGTTATTTTTATGGGGGGAGTGTTGGTTTTCGGCACTGTTTATGACTTAGAGCTAAAGGTTCACACCTCTGCAGATGTGTGTCATCACACCACACCCACCACCAAAGCACCCATTGTCCTCTACCATAGCCCACTTCTGCCCCCTCCCATCCTTGTTCTCCCGCCCCCCTACAGCAATCTCACTATTGCAGTCAGATTTCTATACTTTGTTTGGTTTGATTTTGTCTGTTCCTTGTTTTGTTTCTCTATATTCCACATATGAGTAAAATCATCTAGTATTTGGCTTTCTCCTTCTAAATTGTTTCATTTACTATTTCTCATTTGTTCTATCCACATTGTCACAAATGTTAAAATTTCATCTTTTTAATGACTGGGTAGTATTCCACTGTGTGTGTGTGTGTGTGTGTGTGTGTGTGTGTGTGTGTACAGACCTCATCATCTTTGTCTACTCATCTTATTGGACACTTAAAGTGTTTCAATATCTTGGCTTTGCAAATAGAGCTGCAATGTACATAGTAGTGTATGCATTACTTGAAGTTAGTGTTTTTCATTCTTCAGCTGGGTACCTGGCAGTGGAATTCCTTGATAATATGGTAGATCTACTGAAATAGACTATTGAGGGGAGTGTCAGGCAAAAAACTGGAGAAGTCTGTTCTGCCACGTGAGTCAGCTCCCTGGTCAGAGATCGAAGTCATGGCACATGGCTGGCGACACCTGATAGCTTTGAGACTTTAAACCTGTGCCATCATGGAGGCCCTCTTTAATATATTGAGAAACCTTCATGCTGTTTTCCTGTTCTTTGGTGCTCTAACAAGTTCCTTTGGCTTAATCCAAAGGATGTGGCTTTTCTTGCAATTTTGAGTTCAGCATAACTTTGCATCTTTTGCCATTTCTGACACAGAGTGAACTACTAGGCACACTGAATGGACAAATCTATCATCTCTGTAAGGAATTCTGTGTTCCAGAAAGTTATCAGTGTTGACAGTTTCTATTACTGTCCCATGGGAAGTTAGAATTCTTGATGAATATATAAAAAGGGCATGCAACAGATTTATGAAAAGGAAACAAAAACTTCAGTACTAGCTAAGTAGTTAAAACTTTGAGCTTACATTTGCCTTGCATGTTAATTAATGTTATAATGTTTTGTTTTGTTTTTTTTAAGTCTTCCAGGAAGGCCTCACACGGGAGTTCTAATGTACCTCTGAAAAATCATTCTGTTGTCCTAGATATGACTAAGTTTGAAGACTGGAGCAAACGGGCATGGACAGATGTTTTCCTTCAGCTATACAAGGTAATATTTGCATTCTTCACAGCTTTTTTTTTTTTTTTGCTTGACTCACACGAATAGTGTATTAATTAATATACAAGTAATACTACTGTAAAAGATTAGGAAACAGTGGCCTAAATAAGATGAAATTTTTATTTCTCTTTCTCAGGGTACTCTCATGAAGTAAGAGGTTGCAGTGGAAGGTCAGTATTAGACTGTCTTCCGTGGAATCAGTTGTCAGATGCAAGAGCTTAGAAAGGAATAGTAGACATCAAGTATTGCTTTTTAAGGCTATAATATAAAAAATACATCATTTTCATTTTATATTCTTTTGGGTAACATTTTGTCGTATAAACGCACTGAGCTGTGAGGAAAGTTGTGAAATGTAGTTTCCCCAATGGTTGCTGTAGGAGTATCAGTTACTACAAAGAAAGATTGAAAAAAGGATGTCGGTCGAAATCCTCCTCCCTATTTCTGATTCATGGTGTCTCTGGCTCTGAATGTTTTTACAAGCTTTGTAAATTTGCCCACCAATGCTCTTTCATGATCTTACACATATTTTTACTGCCATGAGTTGTAATACGTGTGACTAGATACCATTCCAGGTTGTATTGAATTAGTGTTTTCTAAACTGTGAAAATATTTTTGCCTGCAGTGGTTTGTTAGTTATTCCTGGCAGACTATGCAAAGAGGCTAATACTTCAGTCACTTCCCAGCTCAGTCCTGAGGCATTCATTCCTCAAAGTCAGCTGAGAAGTTCCAGTAACACTGGATTCATCAAGAGCCAAAGAAAACCACTTCAAGTCATTCAGCTCATTTTTTTATTGACTATTGATGTTGCTCCCCAGATCCTTAACCTTTAGAGTAACTCTTCTCACCAAAAGGTCAATGGTCTTAAGTTTATTTTCTCTGGACACAATTTTTAGTTGCTGCAATAGTGCACAATTAAGCCACCATCTGTAAATCAATCGCCTTGCTTGGTTAAGAAATGAATCACTTGGCAATGTAATTTGGTTGCTTTGTTCTATTTTTAATTTTTTTTTTTTTTGTGAAAAACTTCTCTTGTGTGATGAGACTAGTGCCCGTGTCAAATGAATACCTAATCTGGTGATGTAAAACACACAGCACACACAACTTTCATGAAACAGTAAGCAAGGACTGTGTTCCATTCCACAGTCAATCTGTTCATTTTGAAGAAGTATTTTCACTCACGTTTCTTGAACCAGACTGTTAACAAAAACAAAGGGTATATTTGAAAAATTTTTTGGGAGGGCAAGAAAAGCATTCCTGTGCCCATATTTCCATCCAAAGTACATGTATTATTTGGCACAGCTAACAAGTCACACCAGCCCCTGTATGCATTAATCCATTCTTTTAACTCATCCTTTGTATGGGCTGGATGTTAAGCCAAAAATATGTGCACTTCTTACACCAAGTGGATTTGAGTTTGTATGTAAAGGGGCTTTGTATTTGTTTTCATTCCTAATTTCATTTTCTATTCTTTACTTTTATTTTTCATTTTTAAAAGACATTTTTGAAAGGAAATTTAGACTATTTTTCAAAATGATCTTTTCCTGGTAGTGAAAACTAACATCTTTACCACTGATCATTTGAGGAGCACCAGGATAGAATTAATGATAAGTACCCAGTGTGGTGGCTTTTTTTATATTGAAGCTCACACCCACCCTCGAGTCAGCTCAGGTTATTAGCCCCAAACATTGGTCTCACTTGTCCTTGGTGATTCTTCTTTTGGTATTTACTGAGGAAGGGGAGGGGAGGATATCCTTTTCACAGACTTTTCATTGCATTGTGATGAATATGTCATTTGAAAATTAGGAGCTCTAAATCACAAGATTGCCAAAAAGAAGGAATAAGGCATTTTTTTTCTACACTTCTCTCTCTCTCTCTCTCTCTCTCTCTGTGTGTGTGTGTGTGTGTGTGTGTGTATGTATTTCCCTTCTTCCCTATAGGTTCTTTGATTGTGGTCTTATAAGACAGATGAAGAGAAAAATTTATTTCAGATATACTTAGGGCAACCCCCATGAAAACATGTTGCTTGATTGCTGATGAGTCTCATCTTTTCCTGAGCTAAGGAGAAGGTTATGGTCTGGAGTTTCAAAGGAGAGGAAGATAACTTACCAGAAGATAAGAAGAGCAAGTGTTTACTAAAGGAATTTTTGCTATGCCAAACAGATGTGTCTTTCTGCTGGAATGTCTTCTCCTTCTGCTTTAGCAACTTTTCATGCTAATATAGATTCCTTGAGTAAGCCTTTTCCAATAAGTGTCACTTAAATATGGATTACTAAAGGTCACTGTGACCTTTTTAATATCTATTACCATTATTTAAAGAATGCAGATTATTTTTTTTTAAAGATTTATTTGTGCATACAGAACTGGGGTACAGGCCAGAGGCTCAGGGGAGGTGAGAGGATTCACCAGATACAGAGTGGGGAACAGAACAGGCAGACCGACGAAGTACACTGCTGAGGGGAGCAGCAGGCGGGTCAGGAGAGGTCTGCCACACCATGTGGTCACCTCCGGGGCAGGTGGGAATCGAACTCATGCGGAAGCGGCTTTAGCTTCTCAGTGCTGTGCATTAACCTGCTGCGCCACTAGGGAGGGCCAGAATGCAGATTATTTTAAGAGCAGTGTGAGCATTAGAGACCAAGAGAGACTTTGTACTTTTCCAGTTGTTTGCTCTTTTCCTAATCAAAGAAAGTGATCACTGTTCTGATTTCGTCCTAGTAGAGTGTTGCCTGAGAGTTATCTTGCTTTTTGTAGGCTTAGCAGTAAATGTGTCCTCCCTATTTGAAAAACAAGTCATCTTTTTACTCTGAGAGGAAAAGGTGAGGCCACCACTTTCTTGTCATGTGAAATCTAGCCTGTCTTGTGCCTGCATGCCCTGGCCTGTAATCACAGTGTGTATTTGCCTTAGTGTGACAGCCAATGTCCGTACTCCCTAAGTATATTGTTAAGTTTTGGGCCCTTTCCCCTATTAATCTTTCTGGTGTTAATTTGTTCGTCTGTATAGTCTCAGAAGAACCCAGATGGTTTGGGGGAATTTTGCTCTGTACCCTGACACACCCTCGTAGACTTAATTCCCATTTGCAAATGTCTTCTATCAGACATGTACCAGGTAAATACAAAACTTAGAAGTGAGTTTTTTGATGAAATTTTAGAACTGTTCCCATAGTGGGCAAGAGAACAATTTTGACACTCTTACCAGTATTTTAATAATGTGTAAACTGTAGCCATTTGAGATACACAGGTACAATAGCATAGGTATGTCATGTGTAAAGAAATGAGTACTTTTTCCCAAAGCTGTCATTCACATATACTTGACTATTAAAAATTCACCTTAGATTGCATCTTCTAGAAACAAATTCTGAGACAAGTGATGAAGCACAGGTTGTTTATTTCAGAGGTTATGCCAAAACACATGGGTATTAGAGAAGGTAACTGAATCAAATATTATGTATAAGGAAGCCAGTAATGGATGAGGTTGCCAACAGCTTCTACCAGTGCGTCCTAGTGCAGATCTATAGGAAACCTGTAGATTACATCTGAGATTATCCACAACTGTGGTGAGGAAACTGGAGAGGACCATTAATTAGGGAGCTTTGTGTTGGGATCAGTAACACTCAGCACTCTTGGCTTACCTTGGTTTGTGCTGAGTTGCACCTATGTACCAGAGGAAAAAAGTCCACCTGCAGAGATTTGTAGTTGATAACAATAAGTAGTATAGAAACAAGACAATGTGCCCAAAATGGAGTTCCTTATACCAACCCCCATATCACCAAACTGCGGATGGCAGTTGTCTCTCCCAGAAATGAAATCATTAAGCAGTCAATGAGGAATCTTCTGATCAGCACTAGTTAGCCAATCTGCCTGAAGACACTTGTCATCCCTTAAAAGGAAGTAACCTTATAATTATCAACCCCTTTTTTGCCTATCATAACTATGTCCTTGTTCCCGCTCCCTTCTGCCACTAAAAGTCTTCTTCCATTTTAAAAAACCACATCCATTTTAAAATGTATTCTTTATATATGAGGCTACATTTCAAATAGCTATAATGACAGTATAGTTGATAATAGGATTAATAAAGTATATTATGATAAAGATTTGATTAAACATCATTTTTGCATTCATTCTCATAATGTTTCACTTCTAGATAGTACTGTATGACAGAAATAGTTTTCATTTTGTTCAGCTCTTGGAACTCCTTTTTATCTGCTAGATTTGATGCCATTCAAAAAGATCTTTCAATTTATCCAGTTGAATTTTTCTTTGAAACAGTAGCTTTCGAAAGTAGAGAAAAATGCTGAGGAGATAGGTGGGTTACCAATAGTATCTCTATAGCAAATCACTCACAATGTGCACCCCCATGCCACTGAGGAACAGTTGTCTACTACAATTTACAGGTCTGGGGTGACACAAGGAGCTTCGCTTGTACTATAATGTAATCCAATGTTCTAGTCCTTCCGTGAGAAAGTCTTGTGGGGTAGGTGTGTGTGTGTGTGTATTCTAGTTGGGATGAAAGTCTTGAGATGTACAACTCACTAGTATAGTAACATTCTGAGTAACTCTCTGTGTTATCGTACTTTATAGCACTATATATTTATAGTACTTTTATAGTAATTTATAGTCAAAATATTTCCTCATGAAACACCCACAGTTACCCATCCCCTGGTGAGTAAATGCCTGGAAGAGAAGCTGAAGGAGCAAAATGAAAGTATCAGAAGTTAACTTTCAGTCAGAAGGAGTCATTTCCTGAGTTCTGTTAGTCGGGGAGCATGCGACTGGGTTTTCAATTAAAGCTGGGTTTGTCTTCCCCTGTGCCAGCTGCCCCTTGTCTTTGTCTCTCCCCCAGCCTTCTCTCCTAAGTCCATTCAGCTTCCCCTTGTTCAGCTCCACCCTTCCTTAGGTGGGCAGGAAACCTGGCACCTTGCTTTCTGAGGTCCTTGCATCGTCACACATCAGTGGATGGTGCTCTAATACAATACTGCATTTTACAATACAGTATAAAATGTGCCACATCACAAAATTGTATATTCTTCTATTAGTTTAAAAATAGATCGCTTCAGGAAATATCAATCTCAGAATTTCTTGTGATGTGTTAAATTAATTTTTGAGTTTTGAAACGTTACTTTTCTAAGTTGCACAAACTGTCAAATGAGGACATTTCAAATTCTTGTGTTTTAATTAAATGGAATTCAAACATAACTGCCCTCCAGTAAGTTATTTTTTTTAATTAGGTAACTGAGTGTTATGATTTATAAGACAGTTACTGCTTCTTCAGATGAGCAAAATATATATTTCATATGTACTTGGTCTTAACTCATGGTTCCTTGCAAATAGCTTCCCAAAGCCTTGGAATTTCCTGAGCTATAAGAGCAATGGGAGCATCTTTTGTTACATTATTTGATCTTTGGTCTTCGGTTTCTTAAATTATTTCAGAGGCATAGAGATGGAATTGGTGTCTTGCTATTCAGAAGGAGCCTTTTTCTACCTCTATAAGGTTAATATTAATAAAGTGACTTTTGAAAGGCCTTTAGGGAGGAAACTGTTTGCCTGGGGAACCAACCTTCAATAGAAGGGTTAGAAGTTTCAGCCCCCTCCTCATATTTGGGGGGTGGGGGAACTGGGAAATTGGGCCAGAAGTTGAATCTCTTGCCAGTGGACAGTGATTTTATCAATTTTGCCTACATTTTGAAGCTTCCATAAGAGGAACACCTTTACAGAGCTTCCAGATCGGGGAACCAGAAATCCTCTACAAACTCTGCTATGACAGAAGCTGCTTTGCTTGGTACTTCACCAGGTGGATCTCTTCATCTAGCTGTTGATTCACATTTTTGAATATCCTATGACATAAACCAGCAATCTAGTGTATAAGTGGATTTCCTGACTTCTGTTCTTCTACTCTTTAACTAATGTGATCAACTAGAAAATGCTCCTCTCTTTATCTAGCTGTCATATTTTTTTTCACTTACTCTTCAGTTATTCTTAATTTTGCCATTCAAGTCTGCTAAACTTTTTTACTCAATTTCAGGTTCTGGTACTATCTCGAGTTACACCACATTCCAGCAGTAATCTGCCTCCCACGTACGTCCAAAAGTCACCAAAAGTCAATCCTGCTTTTTTATCCAGCAACATTTATTCTAATTCTGAGAGGATTATACTTAGTTGGATGAACACAAATTATGAGAATGCCCGACATAGTATATGGAAAAACAGTCCAAACGGTGAGAATTTTTTTTCTATTAAGTTATCACAAATTATATGTGGTGACAGTGTAGAAAGAGCCTTACATTCTAGACTTGATGATGGTATTTCTCTCTGTTCTGCAAAAGGGGTGTCACTTACCATCGTGAAACAACATAAGTTTCCTGACATGCAAAATGGAAATAATAAAAGATACTGCTTGACTTTGTTTTCCAGAATAAATGATAAAAATTATGTAGAGATGTCCAATAAATGAACATTACTAGCATTATTGGCATTTAGAGCTCTATAAAGTGTTAAATTTAGGTGACACTGTTCAAGCCTTGAGATCAGTAAAAATTAGCTGGAAAACGTCTTACAGTTTGTTGTTACAGTCATGTCGGAAATCACGTGGTATAATGATGTTTTGTGATTTGGGGGAGGTGGCAATATAAAGTCCTTCTACTGAGAAAAGTGGTGGTTTATAGGTACACCTTCCTTGTTTAGGTAGCTCTCCCTGGCTCTGTCTTGAGGAATGAGGCTCTATAAATTTCTGCCCCAAGAACTTTAAATATAGTTAGCTAGTGTAGTTATGTATTGTTTTCTTAATCATAAACATATAAACATCGATTATAGTGAAAAGAAGTTCATCTTGGTTGTGTCTTTGGCTTCAATTCAAGTAAATCCAGATTTGTTATGTTCAGAATGTGTTCTGTTTTAACATAATAATTAAGTTTATTTTTATACTGAACTATCAGAGTCTAATCGAACTTTACAAGTAAGAAGATTGAGAATGTGATTTTAAATGGGACTTTCAATTACAGTTGCTCTTAACTTGAAGGCATTACTTTAGCAAATTTTTCAAAAGCATAATGATCTCAAAACTGGAAATTATATATTTATGTGTTGGTGTAAGAGAGCAGTAAACATCAAATACCTTATTACCTTCTCATTGACATGCTATCATGCCAGTTGTACTTTGACTTGAAACTGCAGTTTATCAAGATCCATATCTTATAAAAACATATTTTTTCCATTCAGCAATATAAAAAGACAAGATACAAGTAATTGACTTGATTAGCAAAGACTGGCCTGTAAGTAAAGTGTTATAAAATATGTACATAGAAATTAATGGACTCATTTGTTAAAAAGTTATGAATCTTTATTTAATAACAGAATGTTCTGTTGCAAATGAATTTGAAAGCATTTGCTGCACTTTTTAGAGTATGCATTATAGATTCTGGGCCATTTACTGCTTTTTAACACTGAATCTTACTCCTTTTCAAAGCAATTGCACTTTCTGTTCCATCTGTTTGGGGCATTACTTCCCTGGAAATCTTTCTAATTCCCTTTTCCACTTCACTCAAGTCCCTGCTCACATGTCATTTTGTTGAAAAGCTTCACAATATCCTTTCAAAAATAGCATACCCTTTGGGACACTTTCTTACCGTTTTCTCAACAGCACTTTTAAAGAATACTATAGCTATGTAGTCTGTCTTCTCTAGTAGATGATAACTTTTCACCTGAAGATGTCTTCCCTGTTTTACCCACTGTTATATTCTCAGAGTCTCCAATAGTGTATGTGTGTGTATATATTTCAGTGCATTTATGTATTTTTTTCTAAATATATATATATATTATCTAAGTATGTGTGTGTGTGTTTTTGGAAATAATATTTAGAATAAGTATGTGTGTGTGTATACTTAGAAAAAGAGTCACATTCAACTTTTACCCATTTTTCAACTCTTTACCAGGTAATTGACTATATTGTCTTACCAGTTTGTACCTCCCAGTACAGATGTGGGAGTGAGTTTAGATGGTTGAGGTTGAAGGAGGTGCTTGTTTGTCAGTGTGTACCTGAATATAGGTTTGTGTGGATGGTAACAGTGGAGATGCACAAGGAGGAGCTTCATTGTGAAAGATCTTACTTTGCTTTCCTTGAGTTGAGAAAAAAATCATACTCAGTGCCCTAGATGTTTACACCACTCCATCGGTAATGTCTGGCCAGGCTTACAGCTTAGTGCTGTGGTATTACGGGTGGCACAGGGATAGGCCACGACCCAGCCCTCTTAATTGAGAAATTCTGAGGGTCAGGCCCAGAAATCTGTGTTTTAGTTTCCCTTCCATGTGATTCCCATAGATATTCTGATGCATACTGAAATGTGAAGCAGACTAGAGCACCACAAAAAGTGTTTTCATTAGTGCTTTGAAGTCGCTCATACCATGGAGTTTGTAACAAATTCCATTTCAAACAAATCCCCCTTTAAAAAATTCATTTGATATAAAAATAGCTGAGAATTCCCTCAAATTAATGTCAGACTGCAAACTACAGATCCAGGAAGCTCAGAGCATACTGAGCAGGGCAATGCCAAGTGGCTTTCAACCTCAGCATATTATATTCAAACTGCAAAAAATCAAAGATAAAAAAATCATGAGAGAAGTCAAAGAAAATAAAACTTACCGGTAGTGGAACAAAGATAAGAATTACATCTGGCTTTTCCTTAGAAGTTGTACTGAAAGAGACTAGAATGAAACCTTTATAGTAGTGAGAGAGAAAAAAACACTAACCTATAGAATTCTGTGCCCTGTGAAATTGTCCTTCCTTAGTGACAGATAAAACATTGCACAGAAAAGTCAGTGGGTGTCACTTATACATTTAGGGAATAAACTGATTAATTTGCAGCTTACAGTCATCCTTGATTGGAATCTGTCCTTAGTCAGCCCAATTGGGCAACAAATAAAGTTTTTGTTGTTGTTGTTTGTTTTGTTATAAGGCATTTATGGATTTCCCAGAATTTCTTGAGAGTTTAGCATTAAAGCCAAAGCAACAGGATGTTTTCCATATTATATATCTGTTGCAGTCCTGCACTTCAGTTAAGGCAACTCTGACAAAGTTATCTCTTTAGAAGTTTTTTTTTTTTTTTTTTCAATGATGGAACCAGGAAAGGATGTGACAGTGAGTTTAGCTTCATAGAGGGTGTGTTGCAGCAATATTGGGTTGCAAAGTTGAGTCACATGACACAGAATCGCTTCCCACCCAGGGCTTTGACTATCAAGACTGTGTTTTAGGACTTCATTCTGTCAGCCTTAGAGAGTCATGGGAGATGGCTGAACAGGTAACTGTTAATTAAATAAACCTTGGGCTGGCGACAAGTCCACAGCTTGAAGTAAACAGTGGGCAAGTGAGTTTAGCACTGAGATCAGACTGAGATGCCTTGACTGTGGACTTTTTCCATGGACTTACCCAAGAGTAAAGAGCAGAAAGTTAAAGTTTGGGAAAGTTAAGTTTCCTACCTGCAGGTGCTTACTGGGAGCTGCTGTTAATAAAAAAGAGGAAGGGAAAAAGATACCTATTGTGTGATTTGTGCTACATGATGTGAAAGCCAAAACACATTTTCTATTTGATAAGTGGTCACCTGTCTGAGGTAAGCAGAGGGGGCATTTTTAGTACTTTCCAGGAGGTACATTTGCCCTTTTAGACTCATACATCTGTCCCCAGTAGCTCTTTGTATTTTATACCATGTGCTTAAGACCTTTTATCATTAACTTTAGTAGTTAACATCTTTCACTGATGAACCGTTTTTTCCCACAACTTGGTGACAGTACCTTCTTGAGTAGATTGTGCCTGTGATAAAGTATCTTTTATGCCATTCCTTTGGATCCTCTTGTTTCAATTGCTACATTTCATTGCTAATGGAAATTTTATCATCCTGTAATCACCTGGTGTTTCTCATTTTGGGATGTGAAGTGGAATTTCCCACAGAACTGGGTACTTTCATTTGACTATACTTTTAACAAAATTCTGAAATTGGAGCATTTTGAACATTCTATTTAAAACAACTCTGTTCTACAAAATCATGTCTTATTTTGACCCATGCTTATTTCAACTTTTTTTTTTTTTGAGATAGCAATGACATAGTTCTTATAAATGGGAGAAAAAAAAACTGTGTTTTCTCTCTTTAGTGAAGCATAATTAAGAGTACATTTTGCAACATATTTTTTCTGTGCCATCTAAAAGTGCTCTGATTTCATTTTATATATGCATCTGTGAGATTGTCTTGGCCTTTTAATAATGCTGTCTATTCTTAAGACTAATGTGATGGTGAGGTCTTAAACATGTACAAACTTGTTTCAAATGTGTCTAATTTTCAACTTCATTAAACCAGAAAATAGTAATTATTTACAAATAACTAATTTTTCCAGAAATTTCCATTTTTCCCTTTAACATTTAGCATTAAATATTGTTGCATCATTGTTGCAAGATTGAAATGCACACCAACAATAGACATGGTATACTTTGACATTTTAATGTTATATATGGAATATTTTATTTTGGAAGTATGACTGTCAGTCGATATGTAGAAGTCAAGATTAGTGTAAAGCCAGCACTAAATTCAGAGAAATGCCAAGCAGTCAAGCAAGCATGAAAAGAGAACATTGAACCATTTCCCATAGATTAGCAGTGTTGTTCAATAAATTATGTTGAAGCAATGCAATAGCCATGTGTACTGGAAAATGTAGGATATAAAAATTCACCAACAGCCCCACCAAATTCTTTCTCCTTCATGTTCTTGCCTGTTCAGTGTCACAATCTTGCTGTTCATAGGTCTCTTGGAACACTTCTATAGTTGAACAAGTTGAATAAGTTTTTTTTTTTTTAATGCTCATTGTAATGAGGGAAACTACATATTATAGAACCTGGACTGGCTCTCTCTGGTGGCGCAGCTGTTAAAGTGCAGCACTGTAAAGCTGGCTATGGCCACTTCCATCCAAGTTCGATCCCCACCCTGGGGTGGTCCACATGGCACAGCAGATCTCTCCTGTCTCACCACTGCTCCCCTCAGCAATTTACTTCGTCATTCTGCCTGTTCTGCTCCTGGCTCTGTCTCTAGTGAGTCTTCCCACTGCCCCTGCACCTCTGGCCTGACCTCAGTTCTGTATGCATAAATAAATCTTAAAAAAAAAGGGGCTGTCTCACAGTAAAGGGATATTATGTAAGACATTCTAGGATATATGCATTGGCTATGTAAATTGGGGGAAA